TGGCGTTACGGCACAAAAAATACGCATATAAATTTCAAGGAATTGCTTATTTTACAACATGCACAGCAAGCGAAGCAAGAGGGGCAACCTTCTTAGATGAGGTGTGGCAAGGGGACCTTTCTTTCGATAACTTTAACTAGAAAAACCATCAAGATAGTAGGGTATATCATTTTAACACCCATAAACTTTCACCTTACGGACAACTGACGAAACTCAATTAAACTGTATTTCCACTCTCAAAATCTAACAAAGATTCAGAAATGTCGCTGTATTTTTTGCAGGATAAATCGATGAATCTGTGCAGCATCACCCTGGGTCATCAAGGGGTTGCTCGAGGATCATTCGCATGTAGAGAAACAACCTAATGAACAAACCTAAAAAAGTCAGCTTAATTTCACGCTAAGAAATTACAAAAAATTTTAAAAAATCGCTTTCTAACGTAACAGAACAGATTTTCTGCCACAAGTCTAAAGTAATGTACAAATTTTTTTTAACTTTATTAAAAACAACAACTGGAAATCCACGCAAAAACAAAAATTTTGAAAAACTGGACAGAATTTTCCCAGATTCAAAGAACAGAGCGCTACGAATCTTTAACATGCCTGTAGGAAAATTCCAGTGGATGAAATTGCCACATATTCGGTAGAATGTGACCGAATACTATCGTTCTCACAGGAGAGCTGTATTTCCACATACTTATCACAACAATAATGTTTGTGTGTGTGCATATGTACTTCGAGGCCCAGCCCGCATAGGGTTCATCAACGCGTTCTATGTTGCGTGCAGTATTACTTTATCAAGTAATAAAATATAGGGGCAAGTGCATCGAAAGAATCTGCTTCAGATTCGGGATGGTTATCTTTTACTGAAGCCCTTCCGCTGGATCGGGAAAGTTAGAAATACTGTTTGACGAATCTGCTTCTATAACCCGAAAGGATACGCAGTCATTGAAACTGACTGAACGAAAAATAAAGCATATTTGGCAAATAACAGTTAACTCTTTTCTTAAACTATAATCCGAGATTAGTAAAAACAAAAGCAGGGAAACGGAAACTTCATTACAGGAACGACAAAAAATGTTTCTGAAGCAGCAACTTTTTCGGACGATCAACTCAGATGACTGCGATTGGATGCAATTAGACGAAAATCGCTTAAACGACTGTAATCACGCTAGAGTTCACATGTCCATAGTAAGGATATTTGATACACGTAAGCAGTTTTATTCGTCTAATCGATATTCTACCATGAGTGTAAGGTGATATCAGAACATGAAAATATTTATGCGAGTTCAAACGAAGTGACCCCACTATCAATTCCTCAAGATTTACGACTTCCTCAACGTCACACAGCTTCCTTGGTAGATCTGCACCTTCTTTAGTGCAACAACCAATTCTCGTCTTAAAAGGTTAATCGTAACCGTAGTTAAGTATCAAACAGATGAATGCGCAGCATGAGAATATAACTACAATGTAATTACAGATAATTTTACACCAGTAAAGTTAAGTATTGAAATAGCTTCAAGGTTGAACTTGCCATATTTAGCACTTGAATTTTTACAGATCAGTTACTAATCAAGAACCAGTGCAACAGCGCCTTCTTGCTTCGATATGTAGTGATAGTATAAACATATAATCGTCGGCGATATCATTTTGCGTTTTTCAGTATTCCATTCTGGAGTTTCATCGTCACTTACACAAAACAACAAAGAAGATTTGTGGGGCAAGTCCATGGTGCCATAGTTGAACAATTCCCTCGCGAAGTAGCAGTCTATCAACGCAATATTAACACACGTCAGAGAGACTAGTAATAATATATTCCATATTAAAACAAATGCAGAGCGTTTCAAAGACAAATAACTTGGTGAAAACCTAACCTATTATTCGTTGATTTCCGCAGTTCGTTTAAGACATATCGACAATAATATTTTTAAAAAAGGCATATTGATTACGATTCCTATAAGGCGAGGGTAAAGTAGCGGGGATGTTTCGATGATTATTATCTTACATCACTAATATCCTTGCGTACTTGCTACTACTCTTGTAGACGTTACAAGAGCTCACAGAGAAGTGAAAACAGCAGAAAACCCTTTTACTTCCGTTATTTTGCAAACAGTCAACGAATCATCATTCGATAACTTCTCGGTATACCATCTGGTGAAAACAACATAAAATACAGTTTATTTATAAGCGACGCAAGCAATATGGTCAATTAGATGACTGACTAGTACCGACGACTCATGGGGCTTCTTAAAGATAAAGTTGACTGCATACGATCTACTGATTTCTCTGTGGTCGCAAGCCATTATCGTAAAAAAAAACCATTCATTCTAGAGCGTTAAAGAGGAAGCGGACTACTAGCTCAAAGCTGATAAAGATTACCAAGATACACTGAAAAAGAATTATAAATACATCACATGCGAAACGAACAGTGCAAAATTAAAAATATGAAGCATGTTTTCCAGATCAATGAACAAAGATATGCATGTATTCTGATGGTTTAGTAATAGCTTTTTAGTAATTTGTAAGACAGGAATCAATACAATAGGCTTGTTTTAAATAAGGAAAAGTCGGTCGCCAGAACTAAAATGTGGGACATGAAATTAATTTCATCGGCAGCAGTTCGCATGTATGGTGTATTTAAACAAGCAAGTAGTCATTCCACCAAGTGGAAATAATTGCGACATTCCAAAGAGTGACAGAACACATATTTTCAGGTTGGTGCGATCCATCAAATAAACAGCGCCATAAATTGGTGATAACAAGCTAAGCGATGGAGATAGATTCAAAGAGCACTGTGGTGCACTAGACTAGGTGTGGCGGCAAGTATCACGGGGATATAGCAAAAAATTCATAACAAACATGAGAACGCAGTCGCGCTTTACGCCAGCTTGTACACGATTTGCGATTCACGACGCTGCCTAACAGATGGCAATATAATTGGTGAGCCGCTTTCGGTACTCTGCAATTGATAAACTGTTGTGCTTCAGAAAGGGTTTTGACTACACTCAATACTCAAGCAAATGGCAAACTCTAAGCCAGAACTGCCGTTGAAACAAAGTGCACCGAAAAAATTCTTTCCAAAGTTTTTCGTCATCTGAATGAAGAGAGAAGGCTGTTTGAGAACACTCCAATTATAATCACTGGGAGAAGCAATATGTTGTTGTGTTTGTAAGTTTGTCACGGATTTCTTGCCACCGGTAGTTTCTGTTCGCAATTCT